CGGCGCGCGGCCGTCCGCGCGGTCCGCGCCGATTTCGACCGACGCTTGGCGACGGCGCCGCCTCCTATGACCCCCTCTCGCGCCGAGGTAAGCGTGCCGTGCACGTGCTTAGACGCATCAGCCGGGATGGCCTTCGAGTTGGGACATGGAGGGCCCCCTAGGCAACGCGCGGTCTGGGCGTCTCTTGCTCTGTCGGGGGCCGGTCTCGGCCGCGTTCCGCGGCGTCCCGGCCGCGTCCCGGAAGCCGCGTCCCGCGGGTCCGGCCCGGGTCCCGCGCGCGTCCGGGCCGCGTCCCGGCCGCGTCCCGCGTCCCTGGCGCGTCTCGGCCGCGTCCCGGGGCGTCTTGGCCGCGTCCCGCCGCGTCCCGGAACTCGCGTCTCCCGCGTCCCGGCCGCGTCTGAAAGACCGCGCGTTGCCTAGGGCCCTCCTACATGGGGCCCCGGTGCGCCAAGAACCGCCGGCCCGCGTCCGCTCGGAAGACGCGGGGCGCCGCCGCGTCAAAGGTCCATCAGGGTGCTATTTCCAGCTGGACGTCGGTGAATCATCGTGTTGTGACCGTTGCGAACGCATGGGGGCTCCACGGTCTTTAAAAAGACCGCCGCGGAAAAAAAAAATGTCCGATCGATCCCCAGGACGACAATGAGTCGCGGCCTATGCCGTCCGGGAGGTCGAGAATTTTTTCCGCGGTAAATTTTTCGCCCCGCGGACGTTTTTTTCGCGGTCTCGCGTTCGCGACAGTCCGAACACGATGATTTGCTGGAGTTCGTCTCGAAATAGCACCCTGATGGACTTTTGCCGCCGCGTCGCGCCGCAGAGCTCGCCGTCGGCGCTCGCGCGGCGGTCGCGGAACCCGAGGACCGCGCGCGTGCTCGATCGTCGCCGTCGACAAACGGAGGCTCCGCTCATACGATGTACTTCACGGTTTTTACAAGTTCACATGACGTACTTCGCCGATTTGCCAGTGGACCCGCGGCCGAATCGGCGACTCCTCGCAAAACAACAACAGAATAAAGATCGACTTCGACCTAACCTATGGTGTTCTGCAACTGCGCCGTCGACGCAGGACTTCCTCCTAGCGCGCGCTCGCGATCCCGATGACGTAGCGGAGCGTCTCGCACCAGGCGTCCCGCGCCTCCCTCGTCGGCGCGCGGAGCTCCAGCGTCCGAGGGTCGCCGCCGGGCGCGGCCGCGATCGCCACCTGGGGGCGGACCGAGTGGGGCACGTGCGACCAGCGCGCGACGCGGTCTCGAAGCCTCGACACGTTCCGTTCGACGACGCGTTCGAGTGGCATCGAATCACCCTCCTCCCCCCCGGGCGGCGCGCGACGAAGTCCCAGCCGTCGTGCGCCGCGCGAAGGTCGAAGCGCTTCGCCGCGACTTCGGCGCCGCGCAGCCTCGCCGCCCCCACGCGCGCCGCGACGGCGTCGCTCCGCCGTGCGCGCGACGCGGGGAACCACGACAGCTCGAAGTCCCTCTCTAT